GAGCTGCCACCACCACCCCTCCCACAACCAAGGATTTCTATTTTGTACCTTTCCAGAGCTCTCATGTCAGCTCTTCCTGTTCTGGAGTTTGCGTACTGTTCCAAATGATCTCTCTTTAATTCTTGCCAGTCCCTCTTTCCCCTCTATTTTAGGTGGTTTTCACTGCAGTGCACCTGCCAAATTCACACGCATTAAAATTAGAAGGGCCTCATCTGGGTAGCCCCGGTGGCGCAGCGGTTTAGCGCTGCCTGCAGCTGGGGGTGTGATCCTGGAGACCCAGGATCAAGTCCCACATCGGGCTTCCTGCATGGAGCCTGCTTCTCCCTCTGCCTGTGTCTCTGCCTCTCTCTCACTCTCTCTGAATGAATAAATAAATAAATCTTAAAAAAAAAAGAAGGGCCTCATTTATCATCCAACCCAATTCTTTCAAAATCTTTGACCCTGACAAACACAGTAAGAAGTACATTTATATGCTGAACTAGTAACCACGTGCACAAAGTATAACCAAACCGAGTTTCAGGAAACCATCCCAACCTTACCACAACCTTTCAATGGTTCCAATTTGAAAGTGGGCCAAGTGCAACCCACTAAATTGATAACACAACCTGCTAATGGCTCACAACTCATTTTTAAACACAGAATCATTTTATAGATGAACAAATTAAAACAAAAGACAAGGCTCCAGGTCATCACTGGCATCAAAACTGGTGCTAGAACTCTCAAGTTTTCCTGCATGGAGCTAGATTCCACTCAGAACAGAACCTTTGATTGGAACAGGATCGTCTTTAAAATATGCTATTTTGGCACATAATCATCTTGCTTGTTTTTGTGCGGGCTCTCTGCCATTCTCAATTATTTGATGCCAGACCAATGACACCTAGCAAATGGAGAAATTTGGGTGAATTAGGAATCCAAAATGCAGACTTTATTTATTTATTTATTTATTTATTTATTTATTTATTTATTTATTTATAGTGTTCAGGGACCTCTACTGCTGCTCCCTGCTGGTAACTGAGGTAGACTGGTCCTCACATCAGGTGGAGCTGGATAGGTGGTAGGGGTGAGAAGTGGGACGGGGGAGTCAGGAGGGGCATGGATGGGATTTCCTTCACCTTTCTTCCTCCCTTCCTCCATCCCTCCCTCCCTCTTCCTTCCTTCTTTTTTTTTAAATCTTTTTTTAAATTTATTTATGATAGTCAGAGAGAGAGAGAGAGAGAGAGAGAGAGAGAGAGAGAGGCAGAGACACAGGCAGAGGGAGAAGCAGGCTCCATGCACCGGGAGCCCGATGTGGGATTCGATCCCGATCTCCAGGATCGCGCCCTGGGCCAAAGGCAGGCGCCAAACCGCTGCACCACCCAGGGATCCCTCCTTCCTTCTTTCTTTCTTTCCCTCCTTCCATAAGCAAACTGATATTACTAAATATCTATTATATACCAGGTTTTGTGCTACTTTCTATAGATGGGGTGAAAAAATCTCCTAAGAAACATGCTCTGGCAAAGCAATCAGCTTGTAAGCAGTCCATTACAATGCTACACAGAAGTTAAGGCTTCATGAGAAGGAAGTTGAAGCCTATATTTAACCCAGACCGGTGAAGAAAGAAGTGATAAGAAAGGCTTCCCTAAGGAGGGGATGGCTGAGCTGATTCCAACCAGGTGAATAAGAGGAGAAGGAGGTCTCAGGCAGAGACCCTCCAGGAAACGGGACGATCTCACTATTTCCTAACATTAATGTGCAGAGCTCCTAATTCTGGGAAATCTGCTAACTATACACTGATTTTCAACTCCTGTCTCTGAATACACCTGAACCAGAGAGAGAAAGGTACCCATCAATCCCTACCTGCCCAAACCAGTTTCCAAAGCGACAGACCTCATGCAGGGCAGGAAAGAGAGAGAGCACACACCTATCTTGCTCATTCTTTGAATTTTGAAAATGGTTACAATAGTGGTAGGTTGTTTTAAGTTACACTTTTTGGAATTATTTGAACTCAGAAATTCAACAAGAATATCCACTATGGGGATCCCTGGGTGGCGCAGCGGTTTGGTGCCTGCCTTTGGCCTAGGGCGCGATCCTGGAGACCCAGGATCGAATCCCACATCGGGCTCCTGGTGCATGGAGCCTGCTTCTCCCTCTGCCTGTGTCTCTGCCTCTCTCTCTCTCTCTCTCTCTCTCTCTCTCTGTGTGTGTGTGTGTGTGTGTAACTATCATAAATAAATAAAGATTTTTTAAAAAATAAAATAAATTAAAAAAAAGAATATCCACTATGTCAATGTTGTCATTACTTTGAGATGCTTAAAAAAAATTTAAAAAACAGCCCCTTCCCTCCCTGACTCCATAGACTAGCTTAAGAGGCCCTCATAATAGTACTAGAGAGACAGCCTCTCCTCCTCTTGCTTTCCTCCCTACATTCCCTGGAGAGATTGGAGAGATAGGGCCATTTGTTTGGATAGGACCCTGCTGCCAGGTCTCAGCATCTGGTCTCAGGCGACAAAACAAAACAAAACAGGAAAGTCAGGAAGAAGCCAGGGAGCTAAAACTAGACCCTTGAAATATCAAGCCTCCAACCCAGCACATCTTGGAACGAGGACTCTACACACAGGAATAAACAAAAACTGTCTGAAGATCTAACTTGAAATAATGCCAATTAGTATGTCCTCGGTGATCTTGATATGGAAAATAATTATTTCTCAGTCTGCAACTGATCCAGATGGTGTTAGAAAAGCTACATGAAAAATTCTGACAATTTGGCATCTTCCTCAACATTTGTCTTCCTGAAGATCAGCACATTCATTAAGGTCTTGCTCTTCTGTTTGGCAGCCATTCATCTACTAAAAATATCTAAGGTCAAAAAAAAAAATCTAAGGTCTTTGTAGTTTATTTCAACCATTACTTCTTAGAAACAATAGACCTAAAATCCATAAGAAAGTCTGAATTATGCAAGTTGTCTGACTCTGAAACTTCTTAAATCAGTAAAAAATGATAGTTCTCAAGACTTTTACTAAATGGCCTTTATTCAATGCCTATTAATACTAGGATATTTTAAAAATTTTACTTGTATTTTTTAGACCGGCAGAGAGAGTGAGAGGACCAGAGGGAGAGGGACAAGCAGATTCCATACTGAGCACAGAGCCAGACATGGGGCTTGATCCCACAACCCTGAGATCATGACCTGAGCCAAAATCCAGAGTCAGCATTTAACCTACTGAACCACCCAGGCACTCCAATACCACAAAATATATTTAAAAAAAAAATCCTATCTCATATGTAACAATCCTAAAAAGTAATTATTTTGTTCCATGAGATTCAGAAGTTAGGCCAGCTAGTGAAAAAAAGCAATAATTGAAGTCCAAATGTGTCTCTCTTCAGAATCCATGATCTTTCCCTGGATGCTGTCCCAACTAAACCAAAGCTGGCTCTAATTTAGTTAATTAGCTAAAGCTACAAGCATTGTCACAACAAGAGAATAACCAGAAAGGCTCTCTGACCCTCTCTCTCTCTCTCTCTCATCTTCCTTTCTCACCCCCATTCCTCAGGTGCTCTGCTCTCTTCCCTTACTATCAAACAGAGCTCTCTAAAAATGCATTCTACCATAAAAGATCAGAGCAGGGTTTTCCAACAGGAGTCCAGGACTTTTACTATTCCTACCCCACCCTCATTACCCTGAAGTCTCCAAAGGGGTCTGAGGGAGCTGTTCTCTCCATTTCAAAGGAGTCTAATAGAAATTATCAATTCTTTTCAGGCTACTCAGATTCCCTTGTTTTTATCTGGTGTCCCATCAACTCAGTATAATAGGCCTGATTGTCTTTTTTTTTTTTTAAGATCTTATTTGAAAGAGAGTGAGCTAGTGAGAGAGAGCATGAGGTGGAGAGGGGTAGAGGGAAAGGGAGAAGCAGATTCCCTGCTGAGCAGGGACCCAACTCTGGGCTGGATCCAGGGACTCCAGGATCATGGCCTGAGCCGAAGGCAGATGCTTAACTGACTGAACCACCCAGGTGCCCCAGGCCTGATTGGCTTATAGGAAATTGAATCAATCAATAAAGGATATTTGTCTGGCAGGTTGAAACCTTTCAAAGCACTGAGATGTACCACTGAGAGCTATGTAGCAGTGAAATTTAGGTCTTTGCAATTTAATCTCTACTAACAAGGTCTTAATCCAAAGGGATCAGCTCCTTAGTAAACATTCAAGTAACAGGGCCATTGTGTAGGAGGAGAAGGGTATAGATTGAAAGATTGAAGATATGTTGATCTGGATATCTGGGTTCATAATGCAGAAGAACCAATAGACCACACTGGTTAAAGTAAAGAACTTTTTTTAAAAAATGTATTTTCTTTTATTAAGTAGGTTCCACACCTCAGCCCCAGTGCGGGGCTTGAACTCACAACCCTGAGATCCAAGACCTGAGCTGAGATCAAGAGCTGAATGCTTAGGCGTGCCTGGGTGACTCAGTCAGTTAAACGTCTGTCATGATCCCAGGGTCCTGGGATGGTGCCTTGTGTTGGGCTCCCTGCTCAGTGGGGAGCCTGCTTCTCCCTCTCCCTCTGCCTGCCACTCCCCCTGCTTGTGCGCTCTCTCTCTCTCTCTCTCTCTCTGTCAAATAATAAATAAGTAAAACCTTAAAAGGAGTGTGAGAGAGTGTGTCAAATGTTAACCGATGAACCACCCAGGCACCTCGAAGGTAATGGACTTTGACAGTAGAAGAACACTGTTCAAATCCTGATTCTGTCACTTGTTAGAAGTTACTAATCAAATTATTAAACATTGTGCATCAGTTTTCTCATCTGTGAAATAATAGTAACTATCCCATAGGATTGCCAACTGGGTGTATGGGATAATGCGCTTGAAGTGCAGGATTCCTGACACTATAATCACTGCTCAGCAAATGCTGTCTTAAAATTGTTTTGAAGGACCATAACCCAAACTGGTCTTCCACTGTGATGCAGGATATCTCCTCCTCCCCCGTCTGCCGAGCAACTAGTTCCTTTTTCACCCCCTGGACAAACTGGATGTTTTGGCTGATGTTGGAAAACCCCTGGAGCAAAAGCAGAGGGAAAGTACAGTCTGGGTCCAAAGGCCAAGTAGCAATCTTTTTGCCCCAAGTGAGGCTGCCAGCGGGCAATAGTGTGGAGGGCATCAGGGTTGGTGGGACATGGAGGAGTGTAAAGAAGAGAACAAAGGCCCAGATGCAGGAAGCCCACTGTCTGGTGTAGAGCCAGGAGTCAGCTTGGCAAAGAGAGATCCGCCCAAACCAGATCTGGGTAAGTCTAATTGTTGGATGTGTGTAGGTGCTTGTGAGGGAAGACCTTCCTCTAGTAATAAAGGCTCAGAGATTCAGGGCAGGGGACTGGTCCAGGAACAAGGAACACTTGGCAGTGCAGCGCCACCACCTAGCAGAACACTAACTCCTGCTATCCCTCTAAGCTGCCCCTCCCCCCACCAGCTGCCAGGGTAATCGCCCTAAAGCGCTACTTCAATCATGTCACTCCTCAGCTAAACTGTCTGTGACACCTACGGAATTAAGCACGGACTTTGTAGCCTCTCCAGTGTGCACCCAATTTATCGTCTGTGCTCCGTGTCACGTGCCGGATTGCGGTACTCATTGTTCCCTGAGTTAATCCTGAGCTCTGGCTTCTCCGGGCCTTCCTTTCTTCATCTTTTTCTCTTCCTCCTCCACCTCCTCCTTCCTCATTGCCATTGTCATCCTTTTTTTTTAAGACTTTAAGTCATCTCTACCCTCAACGTGGGGCTCGAACTTACAACCCTGAGATTAACAGTAGCATGCTCCACTGACCAAGCCAGCCAGACGGCCCATTCCTTTATTCTTTAGTCGCTCTCAGAAATAGCTTCTTGTTCCCTCCCATCTCAGATGCCACCCCTCCCATAACAGTTTACAGTAACCCTCTCCCAATTCCCCCAGCATTCTCTCCTCTGAAACTTGGGCATGGAAGGTTCTTTGTAAATTTGGTTTTCTACCAGCAATCAGATTGTTAGCTCCTTAAGGTAGGTACAGTGTCTGAGTGGGTGGTTCCCTCTGCCAGTACTTGTAAGTACTCAGGAAACGTCTGCTGAATTGAATCAAGCTGAAAAACCCTTTCTTCCCCAAGACTCTCTTCATATAACATTCCCCTAAAAATCCTCCTCCAAGTGAGATAATTTTTTTAAAGATTTTATTTTTTTATTCATGAGAGATACACAGAGAGAGGCAGAGACACAGACAAAGGGAGAAGCAGGTTCCCCTGGGGAGCCTGATGTGGGACTCGATCCTCAGGACTCCGGGATCATGCCCTGAGCCAAAAGCAAACAATCGACAACTGATCCACCCAGGCGTCCCAAAACAGAATTGATCCTTCCAATTTTACTGAGCAGGAAACTGAGGTCTGGAGAATAAAAATAACTGGTATAGAGGCGGTGGGGGGTGGGGGTGACAGTGCGACAGAGGCCACATGGAAACTTCCACAGCAAAGTCAACCCAGGGGTGATTCTGCTTGTCTTTCTTTTAGTCTCTCTTGTCTCAAGGCTACTGTGACAGCCTGGAATGGATTAAACCATGAATAGCAACTGTTGGTCTCTAGGCCTGGGGTGAAGTAGTAAGTCTCATTAACTCTGTCCTTAGAATTTTTTTTGTGATTTTTTAAATTTTTATTTATTTATGATAGTCACACACACAGAGAAAGAGAGGCAGAGATATAGGCAGAGGGAGAAGCAGGCTCCATGCACCGGGAGCCTGACGTGGGATTCGATCCCGGGTCTCCAGGATCGCGCCCTGGGCCAAAGGCAGGCGCTAAACTGCTGCGCCACCCAGGGTTCCCTGTCCTTAGAATTTTTAAAAGTGAAAAGAAAGAGGGAAAGAAATTTTGCCCCCAGAGAAATGTACTGCAACATGAAATCATCCACAGCTTTAACATTTCAATGTTTTTCTTCTCTGAAGATACCCAGGACAGCCTGTCTCTGCTGTTTTTCATCATATAAATTGCTCTGCTTGAAAGGCAAGTGGGGATAAATATAGCAGCAGTATCTCTGATGTAACATTCTTTGACCTGGCCTGGACATGTCCTTGACATTGTCCTTTAGAAAGGAAAGAGGAGAGAAAATATGTCCTTGCTACTGTATGTAAGAGAAACTCTTCTTCCTAGCCGTTATCAGGGGACAGGAGACAGAGGAGAATAAGGAATCAAAATAAAGGTGCGAAGGATGCTAGCAGTTTGTCAGGTTTCCTGTGTTTGGCTGTCTGGCAGGCCGGCCAGAGCCAGTCAATTAGCAGTATTTACCAAGGTGGAGGTGGCCAGATGCCCTGAACTAGAAATCACACACGGTTCCACTTCCAGTTCTGCCCGTTGCATTTCGAAAAGTGCCTTGCCTAAAGTATTTTGTCGTCTTACTGGATCCCATTTTCCCCTTATTCTTTCCAGGCTCGTTTTCCTTAAGGCAACAACTTATAGTTAGCAATAATGCAATTTTAATTTAAAAGTGGGCAGAATACACATCAGAATGATCACTGTGGTTATTTCCCTCTGGTGAGAGGTCAGGGAGCTAGAGGCTGGGAGGCAGGCAGAGTGAATGCCACAGGGTTCTTGGCTCTGTACTGTGGGGCTCTTTCACAATAAGAATGATTAGTAAATTGCATGTGTAATTTTTCAACTAGGGAAGGAAGGAAATAATGGATTGAGAAACAGCTCACCTGTGATTTATATGTGACACTTGATTTAAGCATATTATGAGCTCTCAAATCCCCCAAAGTAAAGTATCTGTTGGGTAGGTTAACTGCAATTTTCTTATTTCCAGTGTCTGGAATAACATCTCAACTCTTTCTTTTTTTAAATTTTGCATCCCTAATGTAAAATTTAAATTATGTGCCACAGATAAAAATGTAATTTATGTATGTATAAGCCATATATAGTGGGTTTATATGTATGTACACTTCCGTCTACCCATTTCTTTCTGTCGAATACCTACTTCTTTATTTTCTGAATAAGAAATGAGAGAACCTTTTTTTTTGGAGTTTCATTTTTTTGTAATTTTTAAAAAAGATTTTATTCATTTATTTGAGAGAGAGCGAGAGCACAAGTGGGGTGAGGGGTAGAGGGAGAAGCAGACTCCCCACTAAGCAGGGAGCTCATGGTGAGTCTTGTTTGGGGATGCTAAGGGCATGACCTGAGTGCAGTCAGATGCTTACACTCCTGAGCCACCCAGGCAACCCACGAGAGAACCTTCTGATGATGACCACTGGCATGTGTGCTCACTGCCCCCTTTCTGAAGGCTGCTAGTTCAATTAAGACAGCCCCACTGTCCCACAAGTTAATATATACATTCATGTAAGCAAGATCCCTCACCCAGTGCCCAGCATGGGATACCGCTCTATCAGACCTGGGAAGCCTTCTCTCCTCCCCTGTGTCCAGAGAAGAGGACAGAGTCAACACCAAAGAATTTCAGTGTGTAAGCATGTGGCCTTAGGAAAGCTACAGCTAGGCAGAGTTAGATATGCTGGTTCCTTGATGCTAAGCAAATGATGGGAAGGACTTACGGAGGGTCATCCCCAGCCCCCACCCAAGCCTGTTGCCTGGGGCGTGCTCCTGAAAAAGTTTACCTAACTTCCACCTAGAAAAACAGAGCTCTCCTCTGGAATTCAGCACAGTTTAGAAAGGTCAGAGAAATTCACAGCCTGGGGCCCTATGTCTGTCTGCCTGGTGTCAAAACAACCAGATACTCTTCTTTCTGCTTTGCAGTTTATAAAGCCCTATGAGAGGCCAGGGATCTGAATAACAGGCCTGGGATCTGGATTTTAAAAATAAAAAATAAAATTAAAAAACAACAACAACACAGAGAGAAGGAAGTGAAGATGAAGAAAAAAGACACTAGTACAGCCCGAGAGACCCTGTATCCTAGATGCCAGTAACCTTGTATCTCTTACCTCACTTTTTACAACCTCCCTTGTCCCCATTTCAGAGACACTCAAGCTCACAGGCTGGGCAGCATGTCCAGGGTCACACAGCAACAAAGTGGCAGAACCAGAAGATGAACCCACCTGCTCTGACCCCTGATCCATTGAGCGCTCCATCCACAGCTCCACGTGCGGAAACTGAATCTCAGAGCATTTTCTGGGACCTGCAGAGGTCACAAAGCTAGTAAATAGCAAGGCTGGCATCTGCCTGTAATTCTGATCTCAAACTCGAGGTAGATAGTCTACGTTTAATAAGATGTTCTGTTTGCTGATGGGAAACAAAAGGTGGGGTGGAAGAAAATGAGAGGTCACATAAGAATTGACCTGTTTAGATTCGATAACCCAGGCTGCGGGCATGGTTTGCAGGGAGAGGTCCTTAAACTAAAAGAGGTCCTTAAAACTTCATGGTGGTGACACCATGAAGTCACAAATCAGAGGAATGAGTAGGTTATGAAACCTGGCAAATCCAGGAATCTGTACCAGAGAGAGCAAAGTCTTCAGTTTTCCTTCTCAGCCTTAATCAAGTCTTTAAATCAACAGCTTAATTTTTGAAATAAAATGATACATGTTCACAATACAAAATTCAAAAGATACAAAAGATAGAATGTGAAAAGTCACTCACTTTCCATTCCCTGCCCTCACAGCGAGCCTGACCAGCATAGGGTATCCAGAGACCTTGATTCTGCCTAAATACAGAGGGTTCTGGATATTGTATTAGAAAATTAGAAAAAATATCTGTTCACACAGTATGATGACAATTGTGAAAAGATCCGATGCCTTGTCCAAAATACATCTCCATGAGCCTTGTACCACTTTCCCCTTCAAACGAAAAGGAAGTTCCCCCAGTGAGTGTTCTTCCTGGATGGGAGGAACAAAGCAAAGATGGGAATAGCACTTCCAGAACTACACAGGAAAAGGGAAATAGTCAAACTTAGTGCTTTTGCTTAAGGGCCTTTCTGCTCATCAACCTAAAAATTACTTTCTCTGGTTATTTTGCTATCCCCATTCTCATCCTCAAAACAATGCCCATCTGGGGAAGCCCTGAGGGGTCCTCACTAAGGCAAATTTAATGTTAGGATTTTAAATGTGATACATTTTCCCTGATAGCCCCACAATTTCTAGAAGAGCCAATTTGACACAAACTAGATTTTGCTTACAGGTGAAATGTGAGGAATATCTAAATCAAATGGCTTCCTCCCCTTCCTGATGCCCTGCCACTGACCTCTCAAGAGTATAATTTATGAAGACCCTCTTTTTTTCCTTCCCTTTTTTTGTTTCAATTTTTTATTTAAATTCTAGTTAGTTGACATACAGTGTAATATTAATTTTGGGAGTAGAATTTAGTGACTCATCACTTACATATAATACCCAGTGCTCATCACAAGTGCCTTCTTTAAAAAAAAAAAACAAAACAGAAAAACACGTGCTTTCCTTAATACTCCCCCCCCCCCTTTAGGCCATCCTCCATCCACCCCCCTCCATCAACCCTTAGTTTATTGTGTATCCTTAAAAGTCTTCCCCTTTCTCAAAGTAAAACAACAAGAAAGTTGAAGAAGCCCTCTCAACTTCCCAATGCTAATCAGGCTTGCAATTGAAATACCTGAGGACACAGAGCTCACACCGGCTTTGTCTGTGTCTTTCCAAATCAGAACAAAGTCTTTGCCCAACTTTGCTGCTAAAGGTTCAGTCCTGTTTCTGTCCTTTATCAAACTCATCTAACAAATCATCTGCACTTACCGTTATCTTCAGCCCTTAACTTTCAATAAATTGATTTTGGTATCTATTGAAAATGTAATTAGGGGGCATTATGTACTCCTGAATAGGTGGATTCAAATGCCCCTCCTCAGTCTTGACTGACATCCAGAGTCTCCTATTCAATTTGTTACTACAAATCACACTCTAAGTGATGGTTCTTTTTTGTTTAGTAAATGTTTAAAAAATTTAATTAAATGACAGTATAGCACCATTAGTACTAGTAGTATGTAGTTCTACCTACATAAAAGGCAGGAAAAGTCACCCACAATGCCACTACCCTAAAACAGATAAACTTTTTTTAAAAGTCATGTTTATAGGGCATCTAGCTCAATACATTATAGTTCATCTTGTGGAATGCTATGCAACATTTGAAAACGATGAGACAAATCCATACATATGAAAACACTCCCATAGTATCTATAAAGTGAACATAGCATGATGTATGACAATATATATAATACTATTTGTGTATTTTTATAAGTATATTTCATGCTGGGATATGTATGCAAATTTTCTGTAAGGATATACAAGACACACTCAACAGTGATTGCTTGTAGACTCCAGAAAAAGGGAATGGCTGATAGGAAAAAAGGATTTTATTTTTTTATTTATATTTTTCTGGATTGGTTGTTTTCCATATAATTTAAAAAAATATTACATCTAAAACAAAAGTTATGTTTGTGTGTAATCAATTCTTTGGAAATAAATAGAACAATTAAATGTCTACACATGTAACACATGAAGCTCATTAATTATGTAATTAGTATTCAAAAGAAGTTTAATTACATTTGAAAATATTTGAGGGTTAAAGAGAGAGAAAGAGACAAAATAAGAAACAGACTCTTGGGATCCTGGCTGGCTCAGTTAGTGGAGCATGTGATTCTTGATCTCAGGGTTGTAGGTTTGAGCCTCATGTTGGGTATGGAGATTACTTAAAAATCTTAAAAAAAGAAAAAGAAAAAAAGAAAAGAAACAGACTCTTAACTATAGAGAACAAACTGATGGTTACTGAAGTGGACATGGGTGGGGGGCAGGTGAAATAGATGATGGGGATGAAGGAGTGCACTTGTGGTGAGCACCGGGTATTGCATGGAAGTGCTGAATTACTATATTGTGCACCTGAAACTAATGTAACACTGTGTTAACAAAAGAAGAAAAAAAGTATTTGAAAGTGACATTTTATTTCATTTTATATAAATTCACAAAATTGTATGATAATTTTTGGGAAATGATAACCAAACACACATTAAACATTACTTGCTTGTAGCTTAATAATTTCAAAAGAAAAATTACACAAAATTCAACATTTTTATAGTGAATTATGATATTTGATTTGGAATATGATTGTATATTTTAACATGTATATAGGTTACTACAAATGATCTCAAAAGATAACAATGCCTAGAGCACAAGAGACTCTTAAATTGGGACTATACAAACATGCATTTACCATATAAATGCAGAACCTCTGATGCTATCTATGCCTCCCAATTGTTTCTCGGACCCCCAGGCTGTCCAGGGACACTGAAGGCATCCTGGGGGTGGATAGAATCCTCTAGAGACAGAAATCCTCTGCTGCCTGACAGTGAGCCTCAGCAGCCCCGGAGTAGGGGTGGGCCTGGGGTGGACACTGACCTCGGCTGATGTGCTGCTTCTCCGCAGACAGGATTCCAGGGCTGTCAATGATGCTGATGTTCTTCAGGACCTGATTGGGCAGCTGGGAGCACATGAATCTGGAAAAAAGGGATCAAAGGAACTACACATCTCCAAGCTCTGAGGAGCTCCCTGGCCTCTCAAGGTTACTGACATTGTCTGTAAAGTGGGGGCTCGCAGGGGATTTACAATTCCTCCACTGGTGCCATGGGGATTAGATGCTGGACCATGAGGCAGGTATGGCAAGGTACCTTGGCACCTGCCTGCTACCTGCCACCAGATCCTAAATTGTTAATTTTGATTTTAGCTGATATTTACTGAACACTTGTATATATTTCTTAAAGATTTATTTATTTGAGAGAGAGCAGAGGGAGAGAGAACACACAAGTGCAGGGGAGGGGCGGAGGGAGGAGAATAGCAGAGTAGGGAGCCCAATATGGGACTCAATCCCAAGACCCTGGGACCACGACCTGAGCCAAAATCATATGCTTAACCAACTACACCACCCAGGCACCCCTGAATACTTAGATATTTTACAAACATCATCTCATTTGTTCCACATAGTAACCCCTTGAGGAAGAAATTCCTATTAATGTCAGAGAAGTAACTTACTCAGCATATCACTAGAATGCTCCAAACTATATAAAACATGAATCTGCATCAAATTCTACTTTCGCTTTTGCCCTCCCTCCTCGCCTTGGCTTTAGAACCACCTGTGGCCAACCTTTAAGGCGGGGCAGGGAATACTACTTCCAGAAAGCAGTAGCAGGTCTGCTGATAAACCAGCTAAGACCTGCTTTTCTCTTCATCTTCTTTTAAGAAAGATACTTTTTTTTAAAAGGTGAATTTTATGGCATGTGAATTATATCTCATTGAAAAAAAGAAAGATAATTTTCATGCTGGAAGGGGAAGAACAAACATAGATAAGAAACTTGAAGTTCCACTGAGGTGAGATAAAATGAGATATTCTGCTGGTTTTCACAAAACAAGACTAGAAGTCCCAAATACTGAAAGATGGTGAATTGCCAGTGTGATGACAAACCACAAATGAAAATATAAAAATTATTTTGACAGTGGGAGAAGTGTCAGAAGGCGAGATGTACTGATTTTCAAGTGTGAAAAAGGATTGCTTTTAAAGATAGGAGATTGGGTCAAACCTGCTTAAAGTAATTTTCTATCTAGAATGTATGACTGGGAAATAGACCAGGGTTATTTTTTTTTTCATTATAAACATTTGGTACGAGGCACGTGGATGGCTCAGTCAGTTGAGTGACTGCCTTCAGCTCAGATCATGGTCCCACGGTCCTGGGATTGAGCCCCGAGCCCTGCCGAACAGGGCTCCCTCACCCTCTCCCTCTGCCCTCCCACTTGTGCTTGCTTTCTCTCTCAAATAAATAAATAATATCTTAAAAATAAGTAAATAAACAAATATTTGGTACTACTTTAAAATTATCTCCATATAATATCTAAACTTTACTCAAAAAAGTGTTTCTGTGTGTATAGAAAAAATGAGATCCTAAAAACCATAGTCTGAAAATCTCTGGTGATCCCTGGGAGATTTCAGTATGAATTATTAAAAGATGTTCTAAGAGCACTTAAAGGAATTGGGGTGCCTAGGTGGGCACAGTCAGTTGGCCAAGCATCCAACTCCTGGTTTCAGCTCAGGTTGTGATCTCAGGGTCATGAGATTGAGCCCTCCTTAGGGATTAGATGCTCAGCATGGAGGCTCCTTGAGATTCTCAGCATGGAGGCTCCTTGAGATTCTATCTCCCTCTCCTTCTACCCTCCCACCCCCCTCTCATGCTCTCTCTTTCTCACATCAATCAATCAATTAAAAAAAAAACTTAAGGGAATTGACTCTAGGTGCCAACATGGATCCACTAAGGGCAAGTTCATCCAATGAAGAAATATTTATTGTGCACCTACTTGAACCTAGTTACTGTGAGAGGCACTCAGGATGAAGCAGAAAACAAAACAGGTATGTTCCTGCCCTTGTGGAACTCTACTGAGGAAGACAAATAACAAAAATTATAGCATAATTACAACTTGCGATAAGTGCTATGAAAGAAAACATAGGGATTTGTGTGAGTGCATAATTAGAGGAACTGGCCTCATTGCAGGAGGGGGCCATACTAGAAAAATCCTCTGTGAAGCAACAGCATGTAATCAGAGCTCTGAAGGATGAATAGGATGTAGATGGGCAAAGTGTGGGGAGTGCCACAGAGACAATCTAAAAACTATATGTGAAAAATGCATGAGGCAGCCATAATCTTGGCACACTAGAAGAATGGAGAAAAAGCTGACATGGCTGGAACAGTAAACAAGAGGTGAGTGTAAGAGTAAGACAATTCAGATAACTAGGCCATACCACACAGACTAGTTCTTTTCTTTTTTTTTTTTTTTAAGTTTTTATGTATTTAAATAATCTTTACCCTAGATGTGGGCCTCAAACTCACAACTCCAACATCAAGAATCACATGCTCTTTCAATTGAGCCAGCCAGGTACCCCATGGCTATTTCCTTTCTTGAAATGAGACTGGACAGGTAGGTTAAAGACATACAAAGACACACTAAATTTATTTCCAGGAAGACATTTAATCAAAGCTCTTGGGAAGAACCACATTATCAGTTTTATAACCAAGTTTGGTGCCAAATCCATCCACTTCTTCCATTCCTTCTGCTCCCCACTAGATAAGGCCACCATTTAAACAAAACTAAATCATACCATTTGAATTCTTAGTTTAAAGTCCTTCAGTGGCTTCCCATTTGTGACCAGGTTGGGTTCTCCACAAATGTGGAGACCAAGTTTGGGATCCAAGATGTTTATCAGGGTTTTATACCTCTGAAGGTAAAGGGGAGGAAGTAGGACTGGGCAGAGGGAGAAAGCACACAGTGATGCAGGCCCAGTAAAGCTTGGGCCAACCCATCGGGGAGCTCTGGGATGAGGACTGGTCAGCTGTGTCTGGTGCCAGGTCAAGATAAGTAGCATTTATATTATATCCTCACTAACTCAGTCACAGAAGTGGTTTGCTCTAGGCAAGGTATGTCCTCAGGCAGCAAGCCTGTTTGCAGCTAAGGCCCTGAAAAAGCTGCTCACTCCAAGCTGTCTGCTGACCACACTCTTCATTTCTGGGCATCAAGCACCTCCTTAAAGGGATCTCTGGGTGTTGTAATTTCTTATCCATCTCATCATTGATTTAGACCTTTAGGACTTCAAAACTCTAAATGATCTGGCTCCTGTCTACCTTTCCTCCACCTGCTTCTGTTCACAATTGGCTCTAGGGACATTGGCCTTCCTGTTTCTTGAAGCTTCCTCAGGGCCTTTGTACTTGCTGTTCTCCTTGTCTGGCTGTTATTATCCCCAGTCTTCAGGCATCTAGCTCCTTCTAAAATTGTCTGCCTCCCTTCTCACACTTCCTATTGTGTTGCCCTGTTTCACTTTCCTCATGCACATAACTAAAATTATCTAAATTATTTTATTTTTGTTTACATTTGTCTCATCAACCAGAATGCAAATTCCATGAGGGTGTGGATCTGATCTCTTTGGTTCACTGCTTCATCCCCAGTCAGTATCTAGAACATAGTATACCTTCGATAAATTTTGTTAAATTGAATTCAGACAAGGTGCAGAAATGTACACTAAATGACACTATAGATAGCTATCATGTTAGCTAATTGAACAACTTGCCCAAATATTATTTATTAGGGTATTAAGGTTAACCTGAAGGGAGATCTCTAGTTGTCTGACACAAATCAGCCTGGTCCTGTCAAATGGTTAAATGTCAATGATTTGCATAGACCATATTGGTGTGATCACTGAGGTGCCTGGGTGGCTCAGTCAGTTAAACATCTGTCTTCAGCTCAGGTCATATGAGATCTTGGGGTCCTGGGATGGAGCTGAGCTCCACATCCGGCTCCCTGCTCAGCAGGGAGTCTGCTTCTTCCTCTCTCTCTGCTTGCCCCTGCTCTCACTCTTTCCATTTCATTCAAGTAAATAAGTTAAATCTTTACAATAAATAGTATGATCATCCAAATTTCTGTATTGGTGGTTAATATACTGGATGACAGGTTTCAGATTCAAAAGGACTTGAAAGTGCATCAAAAGTAGAATGGATAATTAAAGTATATTATCCATTCAATGAATGTACAGCAATGAAAATGAGTGAATGACTGGTATCTGCTACATGGGGAAACCTCACTAAGGTAATGCTGAGGGAAAGAAACCAGACACACACATATTTCAAAATCAGGCAAAACTATTCTGTGGTTCTCTTGAGGAGGAATGGGGCAATGATTAGGAGGAGGCACGAAGAAGACTTTTGAGGGGCTGCTAATGTCTATTCCTTGACCTAAACAGTGGCTTATAGGGATGTGCTTATTTTGCAGTAATTCAGTGATCTGTGCATTTACGATTTGTCCACATTTTTATGTGTATATTATACATCAGTTTTAAAGTTAAGAGTAAAAAAGATCTGGCAGGGATATTTAATTAAAAGCTCAATGTGTAGTTCCTGATTTTAAATGAAAGACTTTTAATATTTTGCCAGTTAGGATTATAATTGCTGTTGACTTGCAGTAAATAATTTTTATTATACTTAAGCAGTTTTCTTTGATCCCTCATTTCACAGGGGTTTTATTAGAATGACTGCTGTAATACCTATTGCTGCAGGGAAGTGGGATAAAAGGTATTTTTATGTGCTGCTATTAAAAAACAAAGTGTTACAGACTTTTTGAAAAGCAATCTAGCAACAGCTATTATTTAAAAATACATATATCCCTTGGGGCACCTGGCTGGCTCAGTTGGTAGAGCCTGCAACTCTTGATCTTGGGGTTGTGAGTTCGAGCTCCACAGTGGGTGTAGAGATTACTTAAAAATAAAATCTTTAAAAATGCATATTCCCCTTGACCCACCAATCTCAGTTCTGGGAACCTATCCTACTAAAGTAAACCATTAGTTTCAATAAAGCTATTGAAGTAAGAACATCATAGTACATGCATACCAAGATATTTATTAGAGCAATGTTTTCCACATCAACACACATATATACACATGCACACACACACACACACACATTATAAATACCACACATAGTCATCAATAGGGAATAGTTGCAAAAATTATAGTACACCCACATTTTTGGAACA